AAGAAATGGCGATTTGACTTATGATACTCATGTTGATTTAACTTTTATTCCTGTGCCCCCTCACTCCCCTTTATGCACTGGAGTTCAAACTATGATTTATATGTGTACAGTGTATTTTTTTTTTTTTTACTATAATGTTTTTTTTTTATAACTTTCTTGTCCTTTCATTATTGTTAGTTGTTCTTATACATATTGGTTTTTTTGTTTGTCTAATTATTACCAATGACTTGTAAATATGTAAGTTTTATATGATTGAAAATTTAATAAACACACAAATATAAAAAAAAAGTTTAGAAAATAAGGGCACTTATATACGTAAGGAAGAGAACCCATTCAGACGGGAAAATGAGATGGCAGCCTTTCTGCTTATTCACATTTATAAAATCATTTTGTTGCAGTTTGATGTTAGTTCTTCATGATAAGCCAATTGCTCTTCTTCCGGTGGCTTCGTGAGTCCCTTAAATTATTTAGTGAAAACAAAGTACTCGAATGAAACGGAGTGTTTTGCACACTAACATATATATATTAAAGCTACATACACTTAACTAAAGGAAAGAAACCTTTAGAAAATGGACTGGATATTATTGAAAATATTATTCTAAACAAGAATGTACTACATGATTGTATTACTTTACGTTTCAATTTCACGAGAGAAATAGAACTCGAGAGGGGGAGCAGAGAAGAAGTGATGGTAATGAAAGAAGACTAATAGCATGAGAGGAAAGAAAAGAGCAAAGAAGACAAGAAAACGATGTAAACAGGAAAAGGAGGAGCATGGGAGAGAGAGAAAGAGAGAGAGAGAGAGAGAGATAGCCTTGAGCTTTGGATCAGCTAATGAGTAATACATGAAACAGATTTTGAGCGGAGTAATTATCTTTCGCCGGAGAACTTGCGTAAGGAGCTATAATTTTATTTTTTATTTTTTTAAATCAAACATTATGGGGAATAGCAAAAAACGGTTGTCTTTTTTGCTCTTTTCTTTCCTCTCATGTTATTAGTCTTCTTTCATTGAGGTAATTTCAGGTCTTACATATTGATGAGCTGTTTGAAATTAACTAGGAGGTATGCGCGTATTGGGGAATGTGGCTTGCTGCTCTACTTTAAAAAAAAAACTTCCCATGACATGTAATGAGTGTTTAGTGTACATTATGTGGGACGTACAGTGATAGATGGAAAGTTATTTCAGTATATTCGAAATGACTTTTGGCAACTGCTTTTTCCTCCCACATTATCAACATTCATTCATTTCATTTCATTTACATAATGTCATGAAATTCATTCAAAAAATGAAGAAAACTAGATGGAATTCGACTGCGCGCAGTCGAAAATGATGCCTCCGTCATAGAGCAATTTTACAAACCGAAACGGAAGAAATTTTTCAAATTCAAGTTCAATTGTAATCCATTAACATGTTCTCAGAATATCGTGATTACAAGCAATTTCTCATAAACATATATGACCCTTTGATCTTTGACCTCATGACCCTAAAATCTACTCAGTTCATTGGCTCTGCAAGATTTCCTGAGTTAAATAGTAATCCATCTGTCAGTTCTAATGAGAATGCGTCCACAAGCTATTTTTGCATACATAATGAGCCCATGACCTTTGATCTTATGAACCATTCATTGGCTCTGCAAGATACATAAATGATCTAAGTTTGGCAGGAATCCATCAATCTGTTCTAATGATAATACGATCACAAGCTATTTTTGCATACATAATGAGCCGCATGACCTTGACCTTTACCTCATGACCCCAAAATCTAATCAGTTCATCAGCTCTGCAAGTAACATACATGACCAAAGTTTGGCAGGAATCCATCAATCGGTTGTTCAGATAACGCGATCACGAGCTGTTTTTGCATACATTATGTGCGCTGTGACCTTTGACCTCGTGACCCCAAAATCTAATCAGTTCATCAGCTCTGCAAGATACATACATGACCAAAGTTTGGCAGGAATCCATCAATCGGTTGTTCAGATAACGCGATCACAAGCTGTTTTTGCATACATAATGAGCCCTGTGACCTTTGACCTTTGACCTACGTGCTCCAAAATGTAATCAGATTGTTTTCCTATAGTGATACACACTATCACTAAGTTTGAAGTTTAAATCTCCAGTGGTTCTTGAGATATCATGATAACAATCTCAATGTATGGAATTTCATAAGTTGACCTCTGTGACCCTTGACCTTTGACATACGTGCTCCAAAATCTAATCAGATCGTCTTCCTATGGTGATACATACTATCCTTAAGTTTTAAGTTTAAATCTCAAATGGTTCTTGAGATATCGCGCTAACAAACTCAATACAAGGAATTTCATAAGTTGACCTCTGTGACCTGTGACCTTTGACCTACGTACTCCAAAATCTAATCAGATCGTCTTCCTATGGTGATAAATACTATTCCTGAGTCTTAAGTTTAAATCTTAAATGGTTCTTGAGATATTGTGATAACGGTCAAACGGGACGGACGGACGGACGGACGTACGGACGGACGTACGGACGGACGTACGGACGGACGTACGGACGGACGTACGGACGTACGGACGGACAACCCGAAAACATGATGCCTCCGGCACCACCTTCGGTGGCGGAGGCATAAAAAGAAAGAAAGAAACAAAAACAACCCGTGAAAAAAAATATTGTCGGCGAAGCATTTGTCGTAGTACTAGTAGCATTTGTATTTAATGGGACACTTTTTGGGCGGAGCAAATGTCGTCGGAGCAAATGTCACCGGAGCAAGTGTCGCTTCATGCGGAGCAAATGTCGTCGGAGCAATTGTCGGCGGAGCAAATGTCACCGGAGCAATTGTCGCTTCAGGCGGAGCAATTGTCGGCGGAGCAATTGTCGACGGAGCAATTGTCGGCGGAGCAATTGTCGGCGGAGCAAATGTCGTCGTAGCAATTGTCGGCGGAGCATATGTCACCGGAGCAATTGTCGCTTCAGGCGGAGCAATTGTCGGCGGAGCAATTGACGGCGGAGCAAATGTCGGCGGAGCAAATGTCGGCGGAGCAAATGTCGGCGGAGCAAGTGTCGCTTCAGGCGGAGCAAATGTCGGCGGAGCAAATGTCGGCGGAGCAATTGTCGCGTTTTGCGGAGCAATTGACGGCGGAGCAATTGTCGGCGGAGCAATTGTCGGAGGAGCAATTGTCGGCGGAGCATCTGTCGGCGGAGCAATTGTCGGCGGAGCAACTGTCGGCGGAGCAACTGTCGGCGGAGCACCTGTCGGCGGAGCATTTGACGTCGGAGCAAATGTCGCGGAGCAAATGTCGCGGAGCAATTGTCGCGTTTTGCGGAGTAAATGTTGGCGGAGCAATCGTCGGCGGAGCATGTGTCATGGAACCACAGTATCCCCTATCTCGGGCACATGTAGCGGGAGGCGGGCACATCTACAGGGAGGTGGTTGTTTGACAACGTAAAACACGTAGAATCCAAAGAAAATCCATGAAAAGAAGATAAATTGATATATGTGAAACTCATAATTATATAAGGGAGCTTTAATGTTACATCCGTTAACTCTCGGATATTGAATATAGAATACTATTTTATTACACAACTCGATCCCTATCTCGATCGGGCACAAGTCATGTAGAGGTAGGCGGGCACATCTACATGGAGGTGGTTTAGCCGACGACAGAGTTGGTCACGCGTTTTATGGAGTTAAAAAACGACCCAAAGAATCGCCATTTTTGTATAAACTATATCAAAAATGTATAAAAATCCACACTAAATAAATTTACTTAACACTCAAACACTTCTACCTCATAATCACGGACAATACAACTGTATAATGGTAAGATTTTGCCCTGATTTGGCTGAACCACTGTGTTGCACGTATACACAAATACACTTTGGGCGACCTTCCACGCAAGCCGCCGTAAGTGGCGCTACAGTTGGGGGGCAGCTGGGGGGCTTCTGGATAGCACCTGAATGGGAAAGTTGAATGAGCGAGAGCTCGTTCGTACTTAAGACCGCATCTACTGGCGGTGTGGTGAGAGTGCCTCCGTACCGTAAGATCGAACTCACAACTCTGCTCCAGCTAGCTAAAATTCCTTGAATTATTTATATTCTAACTCTAAATCATTCCGTCTCTCACTCTCTTCAATTCAATAAAATCATCTGCATGTTAACATACACGATAATGAATATGTGGGGCACCGTTACAACGGCGTCTCCCAAACTTCGATTGCCGAAAACGCACGCAAAACTCGCCAATGACGGACATCATCTACCCATTCATCCATCGTAAATGAAATAAATTTAGACAAAATGAAGTTGAAATGTCCGAAAGCGGCAAGGAATAATAAGTGGTTTGTCTGTGAGAAAGCAATGATCGTTGCATGCAAGATGAAAGCGCAAGCTGATAGAAGCCCCCCAGCGTGTAATGATAAACGTAGAGGGCTCACATCCATGAAAATTCGCCCGTATCGGTGTATACCCTTCATTGTACAGTCATGACCCCTAGGCCCAATTCTGCACGTACGTACGTACGATCGTACGCGCGCAGTCAAGAACATCAATATTCATGAATTGACACGACGTCACTGATATGCATATTCATTGACCTCCTTGTAGATGTGCCCGATTAGAGGCTACCGTATAAACCACTGTCAATCATTAATTTATTAATTCCACCCTGATATGAATGAGAGAAATGAGAGAAACATGTAAATAAAAGTTAAAGCAAAAAATGATTAAAAAAAAAAAGAAAGTTATGAATTTCGACAGTGCAGACTCAACAAAGTTAGAAGTACACCTAATCTAGATGGAGTTAATGTGATCATCATTGTTAAAACAGTGAAATCCTAATGTTAAAAACAAGTAGTGCAGTCACAACAAAGTTAGAAGTAATGTAGATGGTAAAATCTAGATGGGGTCAATTAGAGTTCAAACAGTGAAATCCCAATATAAGAAAGGATCAAGTTTGGAGAGTCTAGACGGTTTTAGTTAAGACAGTTCACTCCTAGCTAGGGTTAGACACACTCAAGCTTACTCACGATCATTCTGTTGGGAGGTTTGAGGGGAAAAGAATAAGTCGCCTAGGTCTCCTGAACTACTGGATGTGGCAAAACTTTCTTTGTTGGTATTATCTGGAAAGGCTGCATGCAAGTTTGGAGACAAAAGGTTAGGAAGCACAGGGGGCTACAAGTAATTTTTTTAAAATTCAGAGTCATCATGGTTTCTCTTTAAAACTGATGACTGAAAACCGTCTTGATGTCCTGATGAACCACATGTGACAGAAGAGATTTTGAATTGAATTTGTACTAACCTTAAACTGGGCTTAAGCAGGTTAGAAAGATGGCTAAAATTTCTTTCTTTTTGTTTACCTTGTGAAATTTCATGCTCCAATTCATTCTCAAATAAAAGAAAATAGCATTCTTTCATTTAAGACTATCTATTATTGGAATTCTGTTTATAACGGTCAATTCTGCTTTCAAAGTAGTGAATTTCCCCTAGAAACAGGATTCTAATACTACAAAGTCCTCAATGAACAACTGCTAATATTTTTAATAGGAGAATCAACTATGATATAAAATTTCACCTGGAAAAAGTGAAGAGGAAGAAATTCTAGCCATCTCGGCAAAAGCCAAGTTTTAGGTATGTACAAAGTGAACACAAAGTCCCTTTTGTTGTCCCACATGTAAAGATCGATGTATTGGATGAGAGATATCAAATCCGGGCTCACGGTCGGGGCCTCGGCTGGTTTATGAAGCGAAAAAACTCAGGTGGCTCAGGCCTATTGAAGACTTCATCAAACACTATTTTCTCAATTCTATTTCAGTTAGGGCAGTGCACTCCTAGCTAGGGTTAGACACACTCAAGCTTACTCACGATCATTTTGTTGGGTGTTTTGAGGGGGAAAGAATAAATCTCCTAGATCTCCTGAACTACTGGATGTGGCAAAACTTTCTTTCTCTGTATTATTTGGAAAGGCTGCATGCAAGTTTGGAGGCAAGGAATTAAACAAATTTGAAGGAAGCATACTAAGAGCTATAAAACCGTAAGGTAAAGCATGAAGTGACCACTGGAATTTTAATCAATATGCACAATAATATCAAATTCCCTTAACAAATTGTATCTTCCAGTATAAAAAGCGTTAGTACAAGTTCAGTATGATGAAGGCTAAGGGCAAAGAACATTATGTCCAAAACATCTTGCGACATTTTAATTGATTCATTAAGATACACTGCAGGGCACCACTTGGTTTTCGTTTTTAGTCTTGCTTCGTATTGTTTGTGAGCTTTTTGTTCTACTTCATAAAAGTGATATTCGTTAAAAAGGGTCCATTACAGAAAAGAAATGGGGGTGGAAATGGGGGATTTCAATTTATATCTATTTCAGGCGAGCACATGTTAAACAAAACTACGGTATGCATGGGGGTTTCAAGCCTAATGCAATAAAGCAAAGTCATAGCAGCTTCAGGCAAGTACACATTCAAAAATTAAATTACCGGTACCAATTTTTAAAAGCGAGTATGTGTGTCTGGTAACCAGACTACATAAATGCATTTAAGGCGTAAACATTCATAGTTGATATACATGCCAATAAAACTAAAACAACAATAACAGGCTAAGAACAACATAAATAGGAACGCTCATTACCAACATACACGTATATTCACAAACAGGGAAATAAACATGCATGCAGGAGGAAGAACATCTATTATTAGAGGCTTTAATATAAAAAGGCAGTTTCTTTGGAAATCAATATAGCATGGTCCAGAGGTCAAATTATAAAGGAATGTACATGTATGTATTTCCATGTATACAATGCATTTTAATAACACACTCAGAAGATGCAAGAGGAAATGTGGGCTCAGAGTTCAAATATTTCCTGTTTTCTGCAGGAAAATGTTTACCGTACCTGACTTAACATCCTGTTACAAATACCTTTTCCCACTTACATGTTAACTTCCTTGGTCTTTTTTTATTACACCTCGATAACAGGCCTTTAATACATGTATATTACAACCTCACCAAGTGTTATCATGCAGCTACAGTGAGCTTAATATACAGTTTAGTGTTAACCAATTAATACATGCTCCTGCATTGTATACGATGTAGTAATGTACATGTATGAACATAGAAGAGCCAATTTTTTAGCTTCATTGTATCGTTTGAGCAAGGTCAAGGGTCAACTCAGGACGGGATTTCAATAATCTTCACAACCAAGAATATAATGTGATCTAATCATTAAGACCAGTCCTGATTAAAAACATCAATGTTCTATCAGAGACCTGCCCCCCTCTCCTCTTTTGCTCTCTCTCTCTCTCTCTCTCTCTCTCTCTCTTTCTCTCTTTCTCTCTCTACTCTCTTTTTCTAGTTCTTAGTCACTCTCACAATTTCTTGCTCTCTTTCTTTCTGGCTGTCTATATCTTATTCCTGGCTAGACAAATTGCCCTTCCTTCCCTTTTCCACTTCTATTACTTTCATTTCCTTTATTATACAATTTTCACACGTTTCCCCCTTTCCGCATGAGCTCACACATCATGCATACACAGGACCTCATGAAGTGCCTTTGAACGTTGTCATTGTAAAAATCTATTCGGATATGGCACAGTAAACTGCGTAAAAAAACAACTGTTGGACAAAATTTAAATGATTCATAAATATACATGAATATCGAGTGGGGTAAAAAAGAATTACATGGAGGTGAGCACGGCAAAAACTGCTAATCGTAATGACTTATGTGTGTCACAAGATAAAGAAAAAGATAAATATTTGAAAGGTAATTTATTATGCAAACATTGTATATTAATTAGCATGACTACCGGTAATAACTTTTACAGTTCATACATGTTTTGATTTTGCATTGTCACTTCACTAGTTTTTTTCTTCCTGAAACCTTATTCGCAGAATACCATCTTTGTTTTGCCCCAATATGTTTTGAGGCTTTCATATCTGAAAGAGGCTTTATCGTTCTTGTATCTGGTACAGGGACGTGTAATACAATATTTGGAATTGATCCAAAGATGGGAATGGCAAATGAAAATCATTGTTGTATCCACATCTTGTCTAAAAAAAGCTGACATTGAGCCAATCAGAATGGTTGTTTCAAAGTCACAATTGATTCTAAACCTTTCGTGTTACGCATCCCTGCTCAATGGAATATTACAAACTGTAAACAAATTCTAAACTTGTCTTAAGACACATTCATTCAAAATTGCTTTTGATGATTAACTACCGGTAACTCTGTTCACATTGATGTGTATTTCATATGTATTGTAATTTGTGTGTAGGTTTATTTGCACTTTTTTGTTCTGTTTAATATGTAATTGTTTATCAGTCTATTTGTTTGTTATAGCGCTTAGAGAATTTGGCGGTAAGCGCTTTATAAAATAATCTTTTTATTATTATTACAAGTCATCCTGTTTGATGTTTTCGATTAGATATAGCCAGCCTTACTTTATATTTATTCTTTTGTCATGTGTAAAATTTGCAATGTTTGTTTGTTACATATTTGTAAAACTGCAAAAGAAAAAGAAAATCAAACAGAAAATAAATCAAATCAAATCAAATCCTTGATTGGGTGAGGGGTTATCTTACCTTGGCTACTTTGTGCTGGTCCTCCAAAAGCCTGGTTGAAATCAGCAAACCCACCCTGCTGGGCTGCCGGTTGCCCAAACGCAGCCTGTGTAAACGGTGTCTGCTGTTGCCCAAAGCCTGCTTGTTGGGCTGGCTGACCAAACGGTGATTGCTGAGTTGCTTGACCAAAGGGAGCTTGACCAAAGCCTCCTGCTTGTGCTGCTGCAGAAACAAAAGTTTATACAATTTTAAAGGTAAAGACCAGTTTTGGAAACGCCCCCCTTTCAAAAAATGAAATGGAAGCTCTTATTACCAATCATGTGAAAGAATATGTTTTGACTAATACGTGATCATACAAATTTTGCTGAGAAACCGCCTACTAATTGATATGTTTGTAAATCATTATATGTATTTGGACCTGATAGATATAACGCCTGGTCGCGCACGTGTGGGGGTAGTCCCATATACATTTTTCTGTGTACAGTGCTCGTAACTTTATCAAGACTGGGCCAAATTTCTTATCATTTTGATGATTCCAGAACCTTGCAGTACACACCAATACTTATATGCTAGATGATCAACATTTTCTGATCGTTTATTTCACAGTGCAATCGCATGGCCATAACTGGTCTTTATCTTTAAAGCCCCACTGCACTACTTACATGTATACCTACTTGCGCCCTCTATATAGCAAACACTGCCTAAGCGATACACGTTGGTTACCCATGATCCCATTTGTCTTATGTTAATTGAGAGCTGATTTGATGAGATAACCACCTGTCAATGACCATGAAGGGAGGTCTAATCCCTTGTGGCCAAACTAGTGCAGATAGGCTTTAAAGATGTTTTATTAACACCAATATAATTGTCTCATATCAACTGATGCCTTTTATAACTTTAGGCAAACACAAAGGACACACCTTTCAATATATTTAAAATGGGTATCGATAAAACTATCAAGAACACTAGAGTGGTTTGATATTCTGACAATGGACAAAGTTAACTGTCTCAGGAATGTTTATTTGGTATAATCCAATTGTTCTATCCCAACAATAGGCCCAACATAAAGTGACACAAAGAATTTTACATTATTGAATCCTAAGTACATTTCTGCATTGATACTGCAAACAAATTCTGCTATATACATTTTGGAATTGCCGTTTCTTTTGTCCTTTCTTACTGGCAAATGTAATATATTTTCATTTGCTAATTTATTGTGTTTTGGTTTTAAAAAAAGAAGAAGTTTTCAAGAGCTTTCCAGAGCTAAATCACTCATAACATATGAATATTCATTTTCATTGATCATACCTGGTTGTGATGTGCTTGCGAAAGGATCTCCCCCTAGATCAGCCAGAAGATCAACTGACTTCTGTTTGTTGGCAGTTTGAGCTAGCGTAGGAGGTTTGCTAATGTTGTGTGTGGAAGTGGAGTGACCAGGTGGCTGTAAATCAAATCAAGAAAATTAATTAAAGGTGGTGTAGCATGGCAAATACTGGTTATTGAACGTATATGACTTCTATTGGACAACTGCAAGTTAACGAATGGTCTTGATTAACGGTCAGCACACGCTAGCGTGAAACAGACTGAAGTTCTCTTCACGCTTCGGTTTTGCGCATGTTGCAAGCACTTAAATATTGCAGTCCTGCGTAGTCGTATTGGCCCCGAGTCAGGCCACGGGAAAGACACATGTTCTCGTCATGCTACCCCCCCCTTTAATCTATGTTGCAAATGAGCGGGTGCAAAAGAGCCACCACGATTTAGAAATTGTAAATAAATTGCAACCGGGTGTCACAAAGAAGTGTGCTTCAATACAGAGTATCATGTTTTTACATGGAATTTAGCCAAGCCACTTTAATGCAATCAAGCACCAATAAATTTGTTCAAACTGGGTACCCATTTACCTCACCTGGGCCCGTTGTATTAAACTTACCAGGATTAAGACAAGTAAAAGTAGATTACTGTCTACATGTGTAGTAAAAGGATAATAGTTTGTACAACAGGGGCCCGTTTCTCGAAACCAACGGCAAGACAGTCATAAATTTATCCTCCAACTACGGAGATGTCTGCCCAATAAATGACATGTGATGGCGCTGCACATCGACTTAAAGGTTATAACAGAGATTTGACAGGGTTTGGAGGTGTCATAACTACTTAGTCATGATGTTGATGTTGTCCTTGACCTTGGCAAAGAGGGCTTCGTGAAACAAGTGGCGGACAAGTAGCTTACTAACGCTGAGTTAGTCAAGAAGTTAGACTTATGATGGTTTCGAGAAATGGACCCCTGGTTTCACAGGCCACAGACTTATCCAATGGATAGCACTGATTCATTATCAAAATTCAACCAAAATTTATGGAGGCATCTGTAATTTTCTTTGGGATTACAGAAATGACCCGTGTGCCTCAAAATAGCCCTAGCGTTTCCTCCTTTGGAACAAAGTTTTGGTTAAAGAATTTGAATTTGATAATTTTCAGGATACACTGCCCTATATTAGACGACATTGAATTTGTAATAGTACACTATTCATAACACCTCCAAGATATTACCTGTAAAACTTTTATCGGTGCTGCGTTGCTGCCTATTAACGACTTGAGCGGTTTGGGCTCCGGTGTACTGTGTGAACTGCTTGTGCTTTTCCTCTCCGCACTTTCCGACGCCTCTTTGGCTTTGGCAGCCGCGAGGACCGCGGCTTGGCTTGGCTCGACGTACCATCTCTTCTTCTCATACTTTTGTACCAGGTAGTCCCGCACCTTGCCGTCTTCTTTGGACTCTGGACCGGGCTGTGATTTGGAGTCGTACAAGCCCAGCCATATGTGCCTACTAGCCTGAGGAGGGGTAAGGAGGTGCAAGAACACATGGAATAGGTGAAAAGAAGAGCATCATTTCGATGAGCATACTGTAAAATCACTTATAAGCAGGTTTCTAACCAGTGAATAACACCCTTGGTGCTAAATGCTAATGCCACGCATGGGTAGATTAACAAATAAATAACTTTCTTATTTTTAATCCCATTTGAATTTTTTGTTGTTGACATGGTCCCCCCATTTTTCTGCTTCTATCAAAACCAAGGTAATATCAGGGTGGACTTCCCCTTTAATGTTTGTCAGTACTCATTCTGTTTTACTTTTAATCAGATATTGCTAAAACTTTCACTAATTTGTTTTTATCGTTTCGTTTTTATCAATACCAGCTGATTAGTTAGGTTGACTTCCCCTTTACAGAACATCAAAGCCTTATTCAAGAAACTAAGATTGACAAATTCTGACTTTCCTCTCTCCTTCCCTCCGCCTCCCCCCCCCCCAAACTTCACCACCTGTCTACTTGACTATCACAAAATAGTCCTACAGTTTTTACATTGAGTGACTCAATATAACTACATGTTTATATTAGAATACATAAGCTTTAAAAAGAACTTGAGAAAGGAGATTTACACAGATGGAAAAGAAGCAACAGGAGGCATATATAATTTTTTTTCAAAGAAAAAAAGAGAGAACCAAAGTGACAAGAGTAACATTGCATGAAATTGAAGCAAAACAAACAAGGTAGTTAACGGCTTACTTTGAATCATCACGTCATTGTGTTCGATCGGGTGGTCCAAATTACCTGACACTTTGTGAAACTGTTTGGCAAATCTATGAAAGGACGTGTCCTTAAGGTGCATCTTCCGTTTTCGTTTCACAAAAATTCAGGTAACGCAACCACACAAATGCCATGACCTGATGATTCAAATCAAGTTGTCATTAACAGTTTTTCCTACAATATTGGTTTGTGAAACTGTAAATTTACCTCATTGCCACTCTTTTCTAAGGAAGTCATTTCTGCTGCTGTATAACTGGCCATTGAGATGGATTTGACCCTGTGTGGAGGATTGATGCCTCTTCTGTAGAGATACAAATAAAAAGATAAAACAACATCATCAATCTATGCCAACGGAAAGGGATTACTACAAACCACAACACTACAGGGGAGTGTCTCACAAAAACTAAGAACGACTAAAAGATAAAGTTGAGTTCTGGTCATGCGATCGCATTGTGAAATTGTGGAAATGATCAGAAAAGGTTGATCATCCAGCATATATTGGTGTATACTGCAAGGTTCTGGAATCATCAAAATTATAACAATTTGGCCCAGTCTTGGTAAAGTTACAAGCACTGTACACAGAAAGATGTATATGGGACTACACGAACATGTGGCATAAAAATCCATCCCGATATTTATGCTGTCACATGCCATATTTAAAATATCAAGGCATTTGAAGAGCCATGCTTTCCAGGAAACATTTTTAATCTGATGTTCTTCAACACATGAAAAATAACAATGATAACGCTCACAAGCTATTTTCCCCCTCTTCCCAGAACTCAACCTTTTCTTTAAATTGGACTTGGAACTATGGCAGGCTGTTCATGCCACTATTTCCTCTTAATCATTCCTGGAATTGGATTCTCAAGGGACGTACAAATGTTGGTCACAAATCGACAGAATTTAGATTTGTTGATAGTTCATTAAATAAAGAAAACACATCTAAAGATCATAATTTGTAATGTTTTTTCCTCTAATTTTACATTTGGTTCAAGACTTTTTTAATGGCATGAATCGCATATAGTATACATGTAAGTCCAAGTCTTAAATATAACTTAAGTTAAAAATGTAAATAACTCTTTTTCTTTAACAATGAACTATCAAACATGTAAATTCTGTAGATTTGTGACGTCCCTTGAGAAGACCAATGGTGAGAGCAACCAGTGGCATGAATGGCCTGCCATCATAGTTCAAAGTCCAACTTACAGATGTAAGTCGATCTTAGTCTTTGTGAAACACCCCCTTTGAAAGAGTTGTTCTAGTTGATACTCAAGAATTGAAGTAAAGTTTTCTGTATCATGGTACATGAAGCACACCTACACCTACATGTACATGTATTCCTTTCTATGTTGGCGAATTTTAAAAGTAATCTCGAGTTCTGGTAATGACTGAAAATAGTTTTTCAGTGAAAAAAAACTGTCACTGAGCCCAAATCTGTAAAGTTATATCTGCTTAATCATTTTCATAGGAACATGGACTGTACGATAGATGGAATGCTGGATAGTGAGGAATTGGAAAAAAAGATGAAACTGAGGTAGTCCTTCAACACATGTGCCTATCATGTTGCCTCAGTAATAATAATTTGTAAATGTGAGTAATTCTTTTCAGTGACTTTGGTTTCCCGCCAAGTGTTTGTTTGTTTATTTCATATTTTGCTGAGTCTGAATGACTCATCTGCTGTATAACAATTCAGAATTACCATTTTTTTTCAGCGAATGTATGGGATTCCATTATCAGGACTCAATATAAGCTTCATGATTTGTACACAAATTAACATCCGCCAAGACAATCACAGGCATATGTAGTCACTGACTACAATGGAAATCACAAAAAATCTCCAAAGTCATCCTAAAATCTTCATTCTGCTGCCAAAAATGCAATATAGGTGCCAAAAATTAGGCAAAAATGGGCTTAAAGTTGTAAAATACAAGGTTTTGTGCCCTTTTTTGTTTGTTTGTCTGATCACAAGCCATTATACTGATGCTGTGATGCAAGTACTGAAAGAGTGTGGCACTGACAAAAATCAAATGACATGTACACTGTAATGTGCCAGCTTGCCATGCAACCTGCCAATTTTTTTTTTTTAAAGGTTTGCCTGATTACATACAGGCCTTCCGGCCAGATCTCTTAGTGTAGCGATGTTGCTTGTTTAGTTTTCTGGGGCTCGTGCGCAAGCCGACTACAACAAGTACAAGGAGAAAATCAAAGTTGATTTGTTTATTTTTCAATTTAAAATTAAAGCTCTGAAATGCTAAGGCATACGAATCATGGCTCCCTTACTCTACATATGTATGATGTACATGTATCTCACTTTAAAAACAGAAAAGAAATACATCTGCCAAGAAGGGGGGGGGGGGGGAGAAGAGTGAAAATTTCCTGTGTACAGTTTGAACAGGGAAAAAATGGTGCATTGTTTAATGACCGCAAATCGGTGTCTGTCTGTATCTGACTATTCTGAGCCGAGTCAGTGACTGAGAAAAAGACACACAGAGCAGAGGGATGGAAATCATTGGGCTTGTCTAGGGGAAGAGGGAGAGATCAGAGTAGAGCAGTACTTGAGTAGAAAGAGATTGACACTATTTACAGACACAGTCATTATCATTATCATAATGATTAAACAACGGATAACAATTAATTAACATCATTCAACAAGTTCAAAATCGAATTTACCAAAGCAAAGGGTAACAAAAATTGAATCATTACAATTAACTGCATATCATAGATCTACAATTAACTGCATCTACATTTCTAGCATCAAATGTTTCAGTCCATCATACTGAAAGAGACGGATATAATCCGAGATCAAACAACAGAGACACTAGTTGAATGCCCGGCTTGAATTGATCGTAAGTAAGGTACACGCCCCATGTAAGGCACTGTACCTCACATAACCGCCAGCAGCAGCCCGTGCATAATGAACACGTAACCGTAAGTCATGCCCGACCGCTGCAATACCCGCCCAAATAAAATGCCGGTATGACAAGTTTGATCATAATACTTACAAAATTCCGCTACATGCTGTACAAACAAATGTCCCTATTGTCATGTCAACATATGTAGGTCCCCTCTGATTACACTCGAAACATGTTTTGTTGTGTTCCCTGCTAACCATCTCCCGTAATTGCTTGAGATGCTTGTCATCTTGCTTCCTTTTCGACGCCATTTTGAATGAATCGCAACAATGAAATCGATAATCCCACCAATTTTGTTATCGTGTGTAAATCTGAACGTCCAACATGTGGCATTTATTGTTATTCTTTCTCAAAAATAGCACAATTAGTGGCTCTGTTACACGTATTGTACTTTTTAGTAATCCATTGAATAATTAAAAGTTGATAAACACACCACGAATTGTTAAAATTCAGTTTGGGAAAATATATTCAGACCCAATCTGGTATTGTCCTAAAACGATATCGTCTTGTTATCATTGTAAAAGGCTATGAATAATGGCTTGCGAATTCACGAGGCGTACGCCCCCTTAATTTATTAGTCATTCCAAGGTCGTGTTTCAACGAAAATTTGAACAAATTTCATACCCTTTGATGCGTGCGGGGCACTTAGTTAAAGACTAACAGGAATATGTATGTAAAAACAATCAGCATGTATTTCATAATCAAAATAGACAGTTATGGATCAGTACTTGTACAGAGATATAAATATATTATAGCACACAAAGTCATGGCCCATTTATAATATCAAAGCAGAGCATACCACATAGACATACAAAAAATCAATGCAGATATAATACATAGTTTAATGAGGTACTATATTATATGGTGGCCCTGAAGGGACATCGCGAATAGACTAAATCGTGAAAAATATGCGATAAAATTCACGATATCGTCAATTATTTTATCGCATATTTTTCACGAAGAAATTCACGAAATTGACGATATCGTGAACTTTATCGTGAACTTTTCACGATGAAATTGACGATATCGTGAATTTTATCGTGAAAAGTTCACGATATAAAGTTCACGATATAAAGTTCACGATATCGTCAATTTTATCGTGTACTCTATCGTGTACTCTATCGTGTACTCTCCTGACGGGCGCTTCGTAAACAGAACCAGCCCTAGCTGGGGGAGACAGAGAGAAGGAAAAAAGGGAAAGGGAAAGAGAAGATAAAAGGAAAGAAAGAAGAGGAAGAAGAGGAAAAGAGGAAAACGGGGGAAGGGCGAAGGACTCTTGTCCCCCTCCCCCCCCCCCGCCAAAAATAAATCAGAGAGAGAGAGAGAGAAGGGAAAGGGAAAGGAAAAGAGAAGATAAAAGGAAAGAAAGAAGAGGAAGAAGAAATGAAAAGAGGGAAACGGGTGCAAAGGGCTTTTGCCTCGTCCCCCCGCCCCCCGCCAAAAAATAAATAAGAGAGAGAGAGAGAGAAGGAAAGGGAAAGAGAAGAAAGAAAGAGAAAAACGAAAAAGAGGGAGAATAGGAAAGAAAGGAAAAGAAAGAAAAGAAAGGAGGCAAGAGCCCTTCGCTCCTGTTTCCATCTTTTCTAATTCTTTTTCCTCTTCTTTCTTTCCTTTTACATTTTCTTTCCCTCTCCCTTCTCTTTCCCTTTATGGCGGGAGGGGGGAGGGGGAGGTAAGAGCCTTTCGCCCTTCCCCCGTTTCCCTCTTTCCGTCTTCTTCTTCTTTCTTTCCTTTTATATTTTCTTTCCCTTTCCCTTTCCCTTCTCTCTATCTCTCTCTCTCTCTCCTATTTATTTGTTGGCGCGGGAGGGGGGGGAGGAGGAGGCAAGAGCCCCTCTTTTCTTCTTATTCTTCTTCCTTTCCTTTTTTATTCTCTTTCCCTTTTCCTTCTCTCTCTCTCTCTCTCTTATTTATTTTTTGGGCGGGAGGGGGGGGGGAGGAGGCAAGAGCCCCTCTTTTCTTCTTATTCTTCTTCCTTTCCTTTTTTATTCTCTTTCCCTTTTCCTTCTCTCTCTCTCTCTCTTATTTATTTTTTGGGCGGGGGGATGCAAGAGCCCTTCACCCCCGTTTCCCTCTTTTCTTCTTCTTCTTCCTCTTCTTTCTTTCCTTTTATCTTCTCTTTCCCTTTCCCTTTCCCTTCTCTCTATCTCTCTCTCTCTCTCCTATTTATTTGTTGGCGCGGGAGGGGGGGGGAGGAGGCAAGAGCCCCTCTTTTCTTCTTATTCTTCTTCCTTTCCTTTTTTATTCTCTTTCCCTTTTCCTTCTCTCTCTCTCTCTCTCTTATTTATTTTTTGGGCGGGGGGATGCAAGAGCCCTTCGCCCCCGTTTCCCTCTTTTCTTCTTCTTCTTCCTCTTCTTTCTTTCCTTTTATCTTCTCTTTCCCTTTCCCTTTCCCTTCTCTCTCTATCTCTTATTTATTTTTTTGGCGGGGGTGGGGAGGGAGGAGGCAAGAGCCCTTCGCCCTTCCCCCGTTTTCCTCTTTCCTTCTTATTCCTCTTCTTTCTTTCCTTTTATATTTTCTTTCCCTTTCCCTTCTCTCTCTTATTTATTTTTGGCGGGGGGGGGGGGAGGAGGCAAGAGCCCTTCGCCCTTCCCCTGTTTCCCTCTTATTCCTCTTCTTTCTTTCCCTTTCCCTTCTCTCTCTCTCTCTCTCTCTCTCTCTCTTATTTATTTTTTGGTGGGGGGGGGGGGGAGGTAAGAGCCTTTCGCCCTTCCCCCGTTTCCCTCTTTCCTTCTTCCTCTTCTTTCTTTCCTTTTATATTTTCTTTCCCTTTCCCTTTCCCTTCTCTCTCTCCTTATTTATTTTTTGGCGGGGGGGGGGGGGGAGTGAGGAGGAGGCAAGAGCCCTTCGCCCCCCCCCCGTTTCCCTCTTTTCTTCTTCTTATTCTTTCTTTCCTTTTATCTTCTCTTTCCCTTTCCCTTTTTTCCTTCTCTCTGTCTCCCCCAGCTAGGGCTGGTTTTGTTTACGAAGCGCCCGTAAGGAGAGTACACGATAGAGTACACGATAGAGTACACGATAAAATTGACGATATCGTGAACTTTATATCGTGAACTTTATATCGTGAACTTTTCACGATAAAATTCACGATATCGTCAATTTCATCGTGAAAAGTTCACGATAAAGTTCACGATATCGTCAATTTCGTGAATTTCTTCGTGAAAAATATGCGATAAAATTGACGATATCGTGAATTTTATCGCATATTTTTCACGATTTAGTCTATTCGCGATGTCCCTTCAGGGCCACCATAATATTATTATATATGAGAAAATTAGCATTTCAGATATATAGGCCTAATCAAATTAATATAAGTGTTGTTTTTATCATTATGAGAATGATGTAGAAAGTGGAGTATTGATGACCGACTCGATCTAGTCTAGTAGACTAGAGTCGTTGAGAGAGAGAGAGAGAGAGGGAGGGAGAGAGAGAGGGAGGGAGGGAGGGAGAGAGAGAGAGGAGAGAGAGAGAGAGAGAGAGAGAGAGATGGAGAGAGAGAGAGAGAGAGAGATGTGACATATTTCCCCCAAATAATACAGTTATACACTGTCCTTCAAGCTTCAAGCACACCCACTCACCCCTGATCTTTTGTATAATGTTGAGTTCATAATATCCCATGTGCTTCCACTCTGCGTCTTATATGTTGATAACCGTTCACTGCAGTAGTCTTTAATAGTCTCCTTAGACAAGGCACTTGTTTTTTTTTTAATTCTTTTAATTTGTATTCTTGTGTTAATTTGTTATAACATTATTTGTTGAGGGGTCCACACACTCTACAAGCCTTGCTTTTTAGTGGATCATTCCATTTTCACTTAGCATAGATATATAGCAGCATTTTTCTTTTTCTTCTTGATTTAGACTGCATGTATGATACGATTATTTTGTAATTTTTTGTAACTTGATTAAAAATAATATAAATAATATAAATAATATTTTTTGTTATGCAAAGAAAAATAACAAGTACACTTGTATAACTACATTTTATATACTTCCACTCTGCGTCTTATATTATGTTGATAACCGTTCACTGCAATAGTCTCTAATAGTCTCCTTAGACACAGCACTTGTTTTTTTTTAAATTCTTTTAATTTGTATTCTTGTGTTAATTTTTTATAACATTATTTGTTGAGGGGTCCACACACTCTACAAGCCTTGCTTTTTAGTGGATCATTCCATTTTCACATAGCATAGATATATAGCAGCATTTTTCTTTTTCTTCTTGATTTAGACTGTATGATACGATTATTTTGTAATTTTTTGTAACTTGATTAAAAATAATATAAATAATATTTTTTGTTATGCAAAGAAAAATAACAAGTACACTTGTATAACTACATTTGTATACTTTGTAAAATGTTGTTTGTTATTCATTTATTGTGTATACCGGTAAATATTATTTTCTTTTTGAAAATGGAAATAAAAATGTTAGCACTAGTTGTTTTCTTTTGCCTTCGAACATTTGGAAATCGCAACTCCCCCCCCCTGAGTACCAGGGGAGGGGGCTTGTTTTTTTCAGGGGAGGGGGCGCCCCCGCCCTGGATCCGCCACTGCCCTGGCTGCACATACTATAGATGTAGCACGATAGGTAAAACATAAGCTTTGAATAAAAATATAGAGCGCCGTCTGGTGGCTGGAGCTGGCCATTTAGTTCATCATCCATGATCCACTGCAGCATGGCTGGAGATGAGTGAGCAGTCCGGAAAAGTTCTCTTTTACGAAAGAATAATTATGTAGATGTTAATATATTACACTTAGTCAAATAGTGTAAAGCATGTCCTGAACTGATATCCTACTTCCAATCTATTTGACAAATAAAAAGAATTTTAACTCCAGCTCATTATTTTGCAGCTGCTAAGGTAACCCCCAGCATGCATGTTCACCTTTCATCTTATTTTTTGTATGCATACCCCACTTTGACAGCGTGAGACGGCATCTCAATCCTCCAGTATTTAACATATAAATCTGTGATTTTTAATCTGTAAAGAGATAGCATGTGCAATTCCACACATTGCAAATTTTACCTTTAAACCCAATTGTAATCCTAACCTTACCCCAGGGGCCCGTTTCATAAAACTTTTTTAAATCTATAACAAATGCTAAATTTCTATGACAAATCTGCTCTCAGCCAATCACATGCCATGATTTCAGTAGCTTATAACAGTAGCTTGTAACTTATTATTTATATCAAGTTTTATGAAACAGGGCCTATTATAGCAAACTTTAATCATTATCAAAAAATGTCTCTGTTGACTGATCACGTTCTGATGCCCCTATGATATAATGAAATAAATTAAGTCTGGTCGTGT